AACAGCTAGTAGTTTATAATTTTATATAACTAACTGGCTGTTTCCATTGGGCTTTATACATATGAAATTATAAATAAATAAAACACTAATTATTGACCAAAAAAAATTATAAAAAAAATTACAGAAATAAAAATTTTAAAAAAAAATTTATAATTTATTATGTTATTTACATTTGTATACCTTTCAAATGTACAAATGACAATGAAGGGCTGTTGGCATTGGCAGAAACCTTATAACTTTGCTTATAATTTTTGTCGCTTTCTATTATACATGAAAAACACTTTCTTTACACTTTTAATTTACAGGTGGGTCTATCCTGGCATCCATCGGTTCGTTCCAGCAAATGTGGATCTCCTCCCAGGAGTATGATGAGGGAGGCAAGGGTCAGCTGGAGAGGAAGTGTCCCTAGTGTTTACGAACTTTAGTGTTTTGTGCCGGACTGTGTTTATATATTTAAACATGTATTAGTGATATTTTCATACATTAGAAAACAGACAATACAAGTGTCGTGACAATGGAATATGGTAAGATTTTAATTTTTTATCAGCCTGAGGCTTAAGGCAGGGGTGACGAGCCTTCACAATGTGCTATTTAACTAAACTCTTTATTATTATCATATCTTTATTTTCTTATTTTTATATAGAAAGCATTTTACATGGTTTTTCTAAAAAAAAATTAAAACATATGTAAAAAAAAGAAGTCCACCGGCTGCGGAATCCGATGACTCAAGCATAACATAACTAAAATAATTATCAATACAACCAATTCAATGTATTGATTTTTTTTTTCCAATTACATTAAGAGGTACCATCTTTTGACTGCATTGTCACTTCCTTCAGGTGGGATTTTGGTCAAGCACTAGCTTAACAATTAAAAAACAAAAAAACGATAACTTACATTCACTTTTCACATACCTTCTTGATTTTGTAGTGCATAATAGATTTTTGTAATCAAGAATGGGTCTAAAATATTGTTTCTCATGCAAATAGTTTGCCACCCCTGCCCTAATTCAAATAAGACCATATTAATATTTCTTCCCCCTTAAGACTTAGGTTGGCGACGCCTTGTATAAAATCTCGATTTGAGTAATTTGTAAAACATATTCAGGTTATTGCAAATAAAATTTAACATTTTAAAGAACATGCAGTTAAAATGTTGATATTTTATTTTCGAAAACCTTAATGTGCTTTTTTAGGCAACAATTGATTAAAAAGAACTGTAAACAATGTGAATTTATATATTTTTTAATGTTCAATTTTCCATTGCCAAATGTAAAATTTTAATTATTGAAATAGATAAGTGTAACTGATAAGTATAATTTTACTTTAGAATAACTAAAGAAAAATAACATCAGATTATGTAATAATAAAATATTTTGACTGCAAATGATTTTTATTTTAAACCTATCTTACTAATATTGTAAATACAAAGTTGATGGATAGATGTTCATTAGTTTGTAGCCTAAACTGCTGAACGGATCTCGACGAAATTCGGCATAGATGTTGAGGATAGTCTAGAAAAACATAGACTACTCATTTTTTTTTATTTGACGCGGGTAAAAGCTAGTACTTATATATAGTGGGAAAAAAAAACAAGGATTTTAAAAATAAAAGTTTTTATTTAACACAGTTTTTGCATCCATTAATTACAACTCCAAAGTGCAAAATATTTTTTTCTATTTTCATTTCTAAAGAAATTTTATTTAAAAAAAAAAAACTTTTAATTACAGTAGTTATTTATATGGAATTATATTTACAGTTGCTTAAGTATGATTACTTTGATAATGAACACCCAAAATGTACTTTTGACATGATTTTATTTAAAAATTCTAAGTGAAAAAAAAACTAAAAGCGCTAAATTTGAACAATACCAGTTAAATTTCATTAAATAGGCAGAAATTTAGATCAAAAAACAATCCAAGCCTTACGAATAAAGTGGAACATGGCCAGATTACCCAACTATATGCACTTAGCAGTTGGTTATGTCTGGTTCACACTTAACCAATACAGTACAGTACACTGGCATTGAATTATTTAAATTATGCCAGTCTGATAAGTTAAGAAGAAAATTAGTACCACGCTGTAGAATTGGGGCAACACTAGATTGGCATATACGTCACATCTCTGACAGCTGTCAATGTCTTTAAATTTGCGCGTTATTCTGGCGAGTCCTCTAGTTCAGTTAAATAAACATCGCCTAATTACAATTATATTGTTTTAAAAATATCTTAAAAGTGGTAGTGCCCGCTTTAACATGTTAGCACTGCAGGGCACGCCCCCAGTAATACCACGACCACACAGAAGAC